TATTGCTTGTTTTATTTTTTTATTGTCTTGGCCAATCGAAATTAAGTAGGTTGATAAGCTTTTACTCAGATGTATTTTAGGTGCGTAGAATTTTTGGAGTTGAGAATGGGCTATATCGCTCATATAAGCTAAGTGACAATTGAAGAGTTTTTCAGGCGAAGATTCTTGCAATCAAAAAAGCAACCGAAATGGTAAGAGAACTCTGCAATAGCATAATAGGACGAATGACTATACAGGGTGAGATGTAACCAACTTCAGACTGCTGTCATTTCTAAGCCATTCGTCGCACAGCTGTTAAAATTATTTCATTGACAGCTCATTATTGTTTTTGTTATTGTTTACAAGCGTACAAAAGTCCTTTGGTGAGAATTTTCCAGAAAAAAGTTGCACTCAGAACGCGTCACTCTAGAATGCTTCATTTCCAGCGCACAATGGCCACCAAAATCTCCGTACACCAAACCGTTGAACAATTGCGTTTGGAGTATTTTGGAAAGCAAGATGGGCACTAAAAAATACCGCAGAGCAACATTCCGGCAGCGTGTAACGGTTTCATTTGACGTTTGAAGGCCAAAGATGACCAATTCGAACCAATCTAAACTTATTCTTAAATTTGATGCTATTTTCGACATTTTTGCTTTCATTCAATAAAATTTGAAAAAATTTCAAAATAATGGCGTTTGACTTTGTTGCAGTTTGCTTTTATCTCACCCTGTATAAGTTGATACTCGGGCGGCCCTTGACTGCAATAAAGCCCTTGAAGAAACTAGGACTTGGAAACTGGTTGCAACGTATCTAAGGCCATTTGGCATGTAATCTCGAGGAGAAGAACGGGAGCTTGTTCTTCTTTACCACTTAGCATGTCTGATCTAAGAATCACGGAAGGCATACTGAGGGGCCACTGCAGTATTATATATCTGACTTAAAAGTGTGATAACAGTGTTCCTGACTCCTGTAGACTATGTGAAGATCAAGAGATTGAGACGAAAGTCTATTTTGTTGGATGATAAAAACTCTAACGTTCTTCTCACCACAGAACCCATTATCATCAACAAGTTTGTTAACAACATTCTCTGGCTGGGCAAACCACCCTGCCAACTATACTTCTCTTTATAAACCCTGTCTTCGGGAGCCTGATTTTCAATATAAGGGTTTTCCCACGATTTAGCTTATAACCAGTTCTGAAGATAATATTATTTCCAAATGTACTATTCTTTTTTTAACGTGATGGAGGATTATGAAATTATTTACATTTTTCCTAATTGAGTTCCCGGTCTAAACATATCACCACATAAACAAATATTTGCTCTTGTTTTAATTTTATCATTTTATTGAACTTTTTCAAATTAATTTGCGAGTTCAGACAACATCATTTCGACGATTATTTAATGCCTTGATGTTTGATGACCTCAACTGCTACCTACCCAAGCAATCAGCCAGCCAGCCTGATCGTTCGGTCGTTTCAGTCCTCCTCACGTGACTTGAAATCATTGTTATTATGAGTTTATTAACACAAGTAGCTATCATTATTAAATTAAATGAATGCTTGAATACAGAAAAATCTACCTCTGCCCCTCATTCATGTAATAAACAATTGCAGTGACCATTTACTATAACTTGCCTGCTCCTCCCCCAACTTCTGGGCTTGTGCATACACTTCGATGATAAGAGCAACAGCGTGACTGTCATGGTGCGTAAATATTGAGTAAATCATAAACTAGCATTGGTAGTGTAAAGTATTTGTTTCTGTTTCTTAATTCTAAAAATAAATAGACAATGCTATTCTTATGGGGGATCATTGGCTCACTTATTCTTCTTTTTTGTTGTTTTGTGTTGGGTTCCGTTAACGACAAAGTCAAAATATTATTCAGGACTTCATAGATGATAATTCAGCGTCATTGAAGAAGTTGTCCGCTCGGCCAGTTGTTTTTTTTTTTGTCATTTATAAATAACAAATAAATAAAACAATAAAATAATAAATACCCCGTAACGTATGTAAATAAGTTACCAATAAGTAAACACCATAGAAATGGCTTGATAAGAAACAAGTGTATGATGAAATCGATGGCGTATATTTAAATGGACTTTTTGATATACAATGGGGTTGGAAACACAATGCTATACTAGGTGCTGTCCTATCAGATATTTGGGAATGTTTTGTTATTACATTTGGTGGAAAGGGAAACCACTTCTTTAAGCTCAATAGAAACGTTTATAAGTTTTAGAGCTTGGTTGGGTCTTTGTAATTTACTTCCTTTCTTGCTTTTATTTTTAAGGTAGAATCCAATAAGGCCCCAACAAATATTTCCATTTTCTTTTGTGGCCTAAAATTTGATTATGACTTATGTTCAAATGTTCTTGTTTTCAAAGCTATGATTTATAAAATTTGAAATGTTTGGATTGAAATATGTACTTCCCTTTTACAATTCCTTAATTTCCAAAATATAATCGCATAAGCGTAGTTATAGTAGGCCAGCTGTGTAATTAAATGTACTCAAAGCAATTAGCAAAGCAAAATAATTACCATTCGCCACAGCAGCAGACAAAGACTAGAAATGCGTCATTAAGTAATTTACCCCTTTCTAAATATTTTCCTTTCAAAGATAAACACACATATACACTCATCGTAGTCACATTACAAATGTCGAGACACAGTCAGTAGAATTTGTGGTTTACTTTCTTTGTTTAGAATTGCTTGTAATTTTTAAACAATGCAAGTCAATTGACTAAAATGCTGTTATTGTACTCAAAAAACGTATAGGCTGATAATATTTTTGAATTCATTTGAGTTGTAGATGCAAAATATTGATGAATAGGGAAAATAAATTATTAAGAAAATTCAAAAATTCTAAACAATGGCATAAGAACTAAAAACATGTTTAAATGGCGAAAAGCTTGTCCAGAATTAACTGTTTATAGCCTCCACCATGAGAAAAACTAATGTGAAAAAGAGTAAAAATCCCGATAAAAGGCATTTTTAACGATTTTATTCCGAAAACTCTAAAAAACTAATTGTAGTTCGTTATGGGTTATACAACCGGTGAGTTTTCTACAAAGGTTAACGTTTTTCTATAGCCCCAATATAACGGTACCTCCCGTTTCCTCCGTTGTTTCAAATTTGGTATTTAGAGCTTTGATCCGTTGTGGTCATCCTCGGAAAAAAAGTTGTTGGTCATTGGTGTGAGATAGAAAAGAGAAGGGAGGGAGGGTTTATAGACAGAGACAGAGAGTACAGTAAGCAGGGAGGTCTGCTTAGCCAGGGAATGTTTTGGCAAACTTGTAGATGTTGCTGGGATTTATGTTTGAAAAGAACGTTAGAGTACCTATCTCCCACCTGCTAAATAGTCCATCTTTCTTGTTAGATAACATGGGATATTTGCGTAGTAGGTGTTCAATCGACTCTATCTCTTCTTCATCTTCAAGTACCAGCTTCTTCGATGAGAGCATCTGTCCATTGGCTGACATAGCTTATAAGTGGTTTGACAGTCTTATCAATAGACTATAAACCATCTCCAGCTAGTTGGTTAGCCATTTCACTCTCCAACATACAGGGTGAGATGAAAAAACTGCAACCAACTTCAGACTGCTGTCATTTCTAAGCCCCTGGTCCGACAACTGTTAAAATTATTCCAGTGTTTACAAGCATACCAAAGCATTTTTGTAAGAATTTTCAAGAAAAAAAGTTATTCGTGATGGAATTCAAGCATGAGATTGTGATTTCTTTATATTTGGCTGGAAAACCATAAGTGGCTATCGTTAGCGCATTCCAGCCTTCAAATGTGAATAAATATTTTGTGTCACGTACCATCGCTCGCTACGATGGTACTGGTAGCGTAGCCCGACGTCAAGGAAGTGGATGGAAGAAAACAGCAACGTCAGCAGAAATGGTTCGAAAAGTAAAGAAGCGACTTGATCGAAACCCGCGACGCAGTGGCCGAGAAATATTCCATTCGGCAAATGTTGAAAAATGACCTCGGGGTAAAGCTATTGAAATACCAAAAAGTGCAAGAACTTACACCGCAATTGAAAGAAAATACACTCAAAAGAGCCAAAGAGTTGCTTCGCTTGGCCGAAAGTGGTGAACTGCCGAATTTGGTTTTCTTCGATGAGAAAACATTCGATGTCCAGCAGTTTGTAAACACACAAAATTATCGTGTTTACTTGTCAAAGAGGTCAGCTTAAAATGTGCACATTCGGTTGGCCACCAGAACTCAAGCGCCAGCCATGGTGATGGTGTGGGCCGCCATAACAGCCGATAAATCAGAATAAATGCCAAATATTATCGCGAAAATATTCTGGTGGGTGTATTAAAGCCTTGGGCACGCAAACTTTTTGGCCGCAGACCTTGGGCATTCCAACAGGACTCAGCACCACCGCACTCAGCACGCGCCAACCAAGCATGGTTACAATATTAGGTTCCTCGCTTCATTTTTTGTGTCTGGAGTATTTTGGAAAGCAAGGTTGGCACTAAAAAAATACCAAAGTGTTGATAACCTCAAACAAGCGTTTTCCCGGGAATGGGCCAAAATACCACAGAGCAACATTCGAGTAGCGTGTGACGGTTTTATTGGCCGTTTGAAGGCTATAATTCGTGCCAAAGGTGTTGCTATTTCCGAAATTTTTGGCTTTTGACTTTGTTGCAGTTTTTTATGGCTTTTGACTTTGTTGTTGTTGTTTTTTTATCTCAACTTGTATTGCTCAAAGACCTCAAGCTCGAACCACACTTGTTTTAATAAAATTTTGATCCTTTATTTACCTCTTGTCACCTTTTAGGGTACATTATTTAACACGAAAACTATAACTATATTCTGACATCGCCATTGTAATTTCAGTTTCTCCATTTACAGTTTACACAAAAAATATATTTTTAACTCATTCATTACTAATTATGCCATCAAAACCAGGTCACATCACCTATATAGCTTTGCGATGATATTTTGGGGTTTTCTTTTCCAATATTAAAATCCAATTAATGTTGTTTTTTTCTTTTATTTTAATTACAGACTGGCAAACAACAACAATATCATTTGGGACAATGGCTGCGTAAACGTTATTCCAGTTTGTTGAGTAAAACCTATAACAAAGATGAAATTTATATACGATCCACAGATGTAGATCGTACATTGATGAGTGCATTATCAAATTTGGCTGGATTGTATGAGCCGGTGGCCAAAGATGTATGGAATCCGGATATACACTGGCAACCAATTCCCGTACACACTAGCCCAGAAAAATTAGATTCGGTAAGAGCATAAAAAAATTTAAATCGTTTAAGATATTTACACACTATTAAATTGTAAATTTAAGGTCCTTGCTGGCAAAGCTGGCTGTCCCGCCTATGAATATGCTTATTCTGCGCTGTTAGATTCACCCGAATTCCAAAAACTTAACGATCAATATGCCTACCTGTATAATTACCTTACCAAATACACGGGTCGCACCGTTGACACATTAGAGGGTATACAACGAATAAATAACACCCTATTTATTGAAGAACTTTATAATAAATCCCTGCCCGAATGGACTAAGAAAATATATCCAAGTGCCGATATGACAGCAGTGGCTGCATTCACATTTAGCATTTCCACATATACACGTCAGTTGGCCCGCTTGAAGTCGGGTCCTCTAATCAAGGAAATGCTACAACGCTTTGTGGACAAATCCAAGGGTAAATTAAATCCTGATCGTTCGGTTTGGATATATTCGGCTCATGATACGACGGTGGCAAATGTTTTGAATACTTTGAAATTGTTTGATGTAAGTGGAAAAAATAATTGCTTCATTAAGAAAGTTGTCAAACATGTTTGTAATTTTACAGGTCCACAGTCCACCCTATACAGCTTGCATTCTATTGGAAATGCGTTTGAATGATAAAAATGAACCTTTCATTTCGATTTTCTATAAAAACAGCACAGCTGAACCGCAACCAATGCTTATACCAGATTGTGGCATAGAATGCCCTCTGAATAAGCTCTTTAATATTTACAGTGATATTTTACCTCAGGATTGGGATAGCGAATGTAAACTTTCAACTCTTATGATGACCTATGAAGAAGCGAATATTGGTACTGCAATGGGTAAGTGCTCAGAAATGAATTTTAAATATTTTCATGAAAATTAACAATGTTAGGCTAAATTTGACTGTGAATCACAACAAATAATTGCAGGAAAAGCTCAGTAGATTTTAAAAAATAGCTAAAAATAGAAGACACCTGCAACGGTGATGTGAAAGTTTACATCGCAAAGTATCCTTTAAAGAGGTGGCAATTTCTCTCTATTTTACATACTTTATTTATTGATTAAGTTTGTGTTGGAATAGGAGTATTTTGGATATATAGTGTGATCGGCAATAATACTGATGAAATATGAGGATTATTTTTGTCGAAAATGTTAACCTTTTTTTTTAAATATGGTTCAAAACGCCTTTAAAGGGATTGTGGCAAGTCAAAATACCCTTCGGAATTTGTTGTCATAATATACCTAAGATATGTATTCTAACTAAAAATGTCTAAATCTCACCTAAACGTCAGGAATGTATAGATTAACAACTTATTTTAGCATTAAAGACATACTTCATGTGAGCATATGCAAATACTCCTACAGAGTATTATTTTAGAAACTTGGTAAATCAAATATTACTATAAGTATCAAACAAAATCTATATTTCAGTTATAAACATAAATCATAAATATTTTCAAATTTCTTCGATCAATTTTCATCAATTTTTTGTGGGTGAGCTTAAAAGCAACATAAAATTTTGTTTTAGACTGAAAAAAGAAATATTTTACACAAAATTTTACTAAAAATGTCAGAATAAACTACAGGGTGAGATGAAAAAACTGCAACCAACTTCAGACTGTTGTCATTTCCAAGCCACTCGACAGCTGATAAAATTATTCCAGTGACAGCTCATTACAATGAAGCATTTTGGCGAGAATTTTTCAGAAAAAAAAAGTTATTCGTGATGGAATTCAAGCGTGATAGTGTGATTGCTGTATATTTGGCTGGAAAACCACAAGTGGCTTTGCACTCCAGCGTTTAAATGTGAATAAATCTTTTGTGTCTCGTTCCATCGCATACTGGTGGCGAAGCCTGACGTCAAGGAAGTGGACGGAAGAAAACAGCAACATCGGCAGAAATGGTTCGAAAAGTAAAGAAGCGACTTGATCGAAACCCGCGTCGCAGTGGCCTAAAAATGACTCGTGAGCTAAACATATCGCAAATATTCCATTTGGCAAATATAGAAAAACGAGCTCGGGGTAATGCCATTGAAATTCCAAGAACTTACACAGCAACAGAAAGAAAATAGAATCAAAAGAGCCAAAGAGTTGCTTTGCTTGGCCGAATGTGTAAACCGCCCAATTTGGTATTCTCCGATGAGAAACCATTTGTTGTCCAGCAGTTTGTAAACAAACAAAATGATTGTGTTTACTTGCCAAAGAGGTCAGCTGAAAATGTGCACCTTCGGTTGGTCACCAAAACTCAAGCGCCGGCCATGGTGATAGTTTGGGCCAAAACGCCATAACAGCCAATGGTCGCTCTCCGCTTTTATTCAATAAAATTTAAAAAAAAAAAATTAAAAATTATGGCGTTTGACTTTTTTTTTTTATCTCACCCTGCATATATATAGGTTCAATAGTTTTAAAGAAAATTACATTCGAAATTTATATACTACAAGTGTGTTAGCTTTATCTATCTAAAATATCCCTAGTATTTCGATTTTGGGGAGACCAAACTCTTGTAAGGCCTTTATATAGTCATTACTTAATGAGTTATTGGCTTACAAAATGTGTAATGTCGATCAATTTTTTTTTATAATCCCTATAATATATATATCCTAGACTTATATATTTCATATTCATTTACGTTATTCTTATCTCTTATTACATATTCTCTCCCATAGGTATTTTGGTGGCCATCATTACAATAATGCTCTTCCTGTCATATGTGGTTATGGTTTACTACAGGCGACGCAGTTATAAAAATTATTTCTCCTATACACAGGTGGCTTAAACAATTTTTTTACTGTTGTGTTTCAAAATTCTTCTTTTCGTTCTTTTCTATTTGCAATGACTAACCGAAATTCTTTCTTTACAAAATTTCATTTTTGGTTGAAATCAACTTCTTTGGAAAACCCACAACACTACTAGCCACATAAATTGGATGCCTAAAATCAATCAATCAATCAGCCAAACATCACTATGAAAGTCTAACAAACGAAATATCACAAATCTCAAGCACAGAAATCCTGCATCTTATTTTTCATTTATTCATTAGCTTACATATTTAATTTCTTTATCTCGTAGCTATTAGAAATTTTATTTGTTATTGCATTTTGTTATATGAAAGAGAAGAAAATAATTGTTGCATTTATTATTATGATTATGAAAAACAAAACATTTATTTACAAGTCTGTTTTAAAATAAGTTTTAAGAATATTATTCAAACCAAACAAAAAAACTTAGACAAAAACATAACGCATAGAGACGGAAAACAAGTCATTTACACATTGTGATTCACATTTTCATTATTAGTAGGAAACGAAAAAAAAAAAAAAAACAAAAAAATATTTATAAAATAAATTGAAATATTCAGGAAATGGAGATTTTTTCTAAATGTTATCATTGTTTTATTAGCATTATTCAATCGTTAAAAAAAACTCTAAAAATTATAGGTGTCCCTTACGATCTTTTTTATAATCTATATCACATATTTACAATTGTTTTTATAATCTACATTACATATTTATAATGACTGTATATTACAGCAACGCTTTCTTTCGCAAGTTTTTGCATTTACATTTTTTGATTATTTTTGATGATGAACCATTTTCTTTATTTCTCTAGATAGGTCCGCGTTAGTAGCACAAGAGTGATGTAGATTATAACGTAATTATTTTCCTTTTATTTTCATAGTCTTTATAATTATGCATTTTTTATTGGTTCATCTTTCGACCTTTCGATCTGTAATTTCTCTTTTTGATAAGACTGTTGATTTTTATTAAAAATGTAGTTTTTTAAACGTACCTCTACATCATATACCTAAAAGATTTATAGATATATATAAAATTTTAAAATGATATCTCTAATAAAATGAAACATTAATCCAAATATATGAATATTACAGAACTTTTTAAAATATTATTATAATGATTTTCAAAACAAGATACATATATTAAAATGAAAGATATTACAAATTATAAAAATACGTACTTGTTTTAATTGGCTGTAAAAATGGTGAGATAAATTTATTGATACACATATATAGAATTACAGAAAGTATTACTGTTATTAGTTAATTGGGAAAATATCAAGGGTAGAATTGAATCCATATCATTTTTGTGACATATTGCACGCATATCACATCACGCAAGCTTAACTTATAATGGACAGTTGAGTTGGTGTTTATTTTCTGGTATACGTAGTTATTATGATGTTTTTTGAAATAGCCAGGCTTAGTTGCTATTTTTAGAAAAACAACGTGAAAATATTTAATACTTGTTAAGTATTTTGAAGAAGTTTCGGGAGCCTTATCTACAAGACCTAAACTCGACATAAGTTTATAGATACTCAACCGCAAAATGGAATAAAATGTTACTTTCGGCCTTTAGAATACACAATATAGGTGGCTTATTCAAACCCACACTCCGATGTTGGGTTATTTCTAATTAACCGATTTTTTAAATATGCTTCAAACATGGACTTTAATCTACATTTAAGATTTTTTTATACGACTACATCCATGTTGCCAAAAGCCAAGTTCCCGATATCGCATGAATCGCTTTACTGTTTAATTAAATGAACGTTGGGGGTTTCAAGAAGTCAGATAGTTATTCGTTCTGTCTGTCCATGCCAAGGCAAGGACTTGACATCTTAGACCTACAATACAATACTAATGGGCACGGTTTATATAACCCCCCTATGAGGAAGTCTGTTAGAATGTACACCAACGCCGATTATAGGTTTATTGAAGAGTGTCCATAAGTTCATCTCGTGTCGTATATTTAAATATGAACCTGTTAAAATTATCTTAAAAATGGTGTCTGCCTGTTTACTCAATAATTTTGAACAATTGTTGCAAACTTTTATTGCAAACTGGCAATACATATTTGCTTCACAATAATTGTATGTAAACGCACTACAAATCTAGTGTCTTCACTTCATAAGGTTTTGGTCAATCATTTCAAGGTGCTGCATAATGGAATGGCAAAATTAAAAATTCATCTTATTGTGAGGGGTATAAATACATACACATCTTTAATTAGTTTTCTCCCATGTTTCATTAAAATGCTTGTTGCCTGACACATTGCTAACATACCCTTTTGGCGTTTAAAAGAATTTTTTTTTGATTATTGTAAACTTTTAAAGTAAACGTTATTGAGATTTTCTTAAAATAGAATATAGCAATTGTGTAACTTTAGTATTTTCCGTATCATTTTGAATAATTTGTTATCCTCGTCTTTACTTGTGATTTCGGAGAACATTGATCAGTTGGTTATCGTTCTCGTCCGATTAATCGATAAAAAATAATAATTTCAATCTATTGATTTTGCTTCTAACGGCTTCTTCCCTTAGTTTATAAAAATTCTAACGGCGGTCGGTCGCGAATTTTCTTCGGGAATTCTAAGCGTTGAATTTTATTGAAGCAATCATTTGTGAATTAAAAGATATACAATATAGTTTATTAGCATTGATTTAATTGTTAAAAAATGGTTAAATTTAAACATTGTTTCTATTTTCGTCGTGCAAATATATTGCAATTATGCTTGCTCCTGCATAATTGAGCTCGTGTGCGTACGTGTGTGTCTAAAAGAGAGAATGTTGTTGTTTTTACCGGTCGGTTAAAAAAGAGATCATCCAGTCGTTATAAGCTCGTTAGAAAAACACTGTATTAGCGTTTTAAGCATTCATAAGAATTGGCAACACTGTTATCAATTGCTTCTTTCCTCAGTTTATAAAAATCCTAACGGTGGTCGGTCGCAAATTTTCTTCGGGGATTCTGAGCGTTTAATATTACTGAAGCAATCATTTGTGAATTAAAATAAATATAATAGAGTTTATTAGCATTGATTTTATTTGTCATAATTGCAAAATAAGTATTTAATTAAATTATTTCGGTATGGTTTTACGTTTCTTCTGTTTTGACGTGCAAAGATGTTGCAATTCTTTTTGCTCCTTTTCGGGAGAGCTCGTGTGCGTGTGTGTTTGAGAAAATGTTGTTGTTCTCTGTTCGGTCGGTTATTGTACGGTTTAAAAGAGATCATTTGGTAGAAAAAAGCTCGTGTGAAAAAATGGTATTGGCGTTTTAAGCATTCATAAGAATTGACAACATCGTTATCAATTGCTTCCTCCGTCAGTTGCAAAAAAATCTAACGGCAGTCAGTCTCAAAGTTTATTCGGTAATTGTAAACCTTTAATATTAATGAAGTGTTTGTTTATAAATTAAAAGAAATACAAAAAAAAAAAGTTTATTAGCATCGATTTTATTGTTCGTTGTTAAAATAATGTTTAAATTAAACCATTTTGGTGCGCTATTTATTGTCTTAATTTGTCGGGCAAAGATGTTGCAATTTTGTTTGCTCCTTCGCATGGGAGCTCGTGTGCGTGCGTGTGTGAAATGAGAGAATGTTGTTGTTCTCTATTCGGTCGGTTATTGTTCTGTCTAAGAGATCTTTAAGCTCGTGTGGCAACCATTTTTCTATGGTCAGTGCATGGTAGAAATACCAGGTAGCAACATAGGCGAAAATTACAACAAAGCAACTTTTTTGGAAACTTGATATGTCAAAGTTGTAGTCAGGGCGAATTGATTTGAAGTACAAAATTTGGGGCAAATTATTTTTCCAATCAAAATATTGAATTAAAAATTTTCAAAATTGTGTTTTTTTCTATTACAAAAGCAAATATTCAAAACTTCCAACATCGATTGAAAGTAATGCTGAAGCCGCTGCATCTGGGTTTGATTATAGCACGTTCAATACAACATTTTTGAAAATCACATAGACTGGAAATTGAGTGATTGTAGTCTCCGGCGCACCAACGAAGGACATTTGCGATAATAGATGTCCAATCGTTGTTATCTCTTCATCATCCTTACACAGCATGCAGTCTTGGTAACGTTGGCAACGTTGATTTCATATTCAACAGCGATAATGTTCTTTAAAGGAAATATCCGGAAAATTATTTTAGATGCTTTAAAATTAGGTTTTGTGGTGGTTCTGGGGTGTACCCTTTTTTCTTTTGCTACATCGTCAGCTTTCTCGCTGTAGTGACATGCTACCTAAAAGGTACTTTAGGGTATATTTACTCCTCAGGCTTACTTAAGATTTGGATCAAAGATTGCAGAAGATACAGGGGGGCTGAGTCTACTGTGAGTCCAGGCATATTATTTGCTCAGCTATGAAATGTATAGCAGACAGGAAGTCTTTTAAGCATAGATAACTTTAATACATTCGAACAATTTGAAATAAAAAAATTATCTCAATATTTAATCACACCCCAAAAATTGCCAATATTTTGTTCCCCAAACCAATCCAATATGCTTTGGAATCATTCACCTTTCACTGTTGAAGCCCTATAGTGTATAACATAGTTGAAAATCCGTACAAATAAGATGATGAAATTCCATGTATCGGTTTATTTCCTAAATGAAATTGATTCCCTGTTTCACTTATTTCAAATATCCACGAATTTTAGATCTCCATATTACCTATGCCTACCATATGTTGAATATACACTTTTTCCCTCATATTCTATAAAAACGTAAAATCTCGATTTTCTATCAATAGCATTGTTAAAGTTTGAAATCATGCAACAATTTTCTTATGTGTAAATGAAGGCGAATTCAAATTACAACAATTTTTTGACATATCAAATTGATACCAGCTGGCCTGAAAGGGTTACCTTGTAATTCTACCATGGGTCAGTGCAAGTGTTAATAATAAAATTTTGGCGCAATTCTTTTATATGTCAATTTGTATTTATTCCGTCCTATTCCCTGTTCATATT